AAGTCAGGTGCCAGGTGTGAACGGTGTTTCTGTGTCTGGATCGCCAGGGCGGACAGGAGCGTTGGGTGCTGGACGCTGCGGGACAGTGGCTGGGAAGGCGGGGGGGAGCGGGGGGCGCCGCGCCTCAGCCACCAGGGTGCGTCCCTCAGCTGGGCGCTCACTCCACGGTGCTGTGAAGTCAGGGTTTGTGAACTTTCCCGCATGCATGTGTGCGGGAAGCGTTCACCAGAAATCACTGATAAAACCCCGATTCAGAAATAACCTCCATGTAAGCTAGAAACATGTTTTATCCTGGTTTCTTTAACGTCGTGTGAGCTTTTTCCTATGGCATTAAATATTCTGCAAAAATAAGGTTATTAGTGCTGGCTGTTAAAGAATTATGCAAGGAAAAATGGTTACTTTCAGAAAGAAAACCCATTTTCTCGTGATTAAACAGTTTCTATTTAGAGCTGCACGTTATTTGAAATGAGTCGTGCACATCGGTTGGCGTTACGAGCGTGCACTCTGCCACTGATGTGTGGCCTGGCAGCCTGCGGCGTGCATCTTGTGCGTGCGTCTCCCTCCGTGGACGGCCTGCGTGTGTGTGGGCAGCCACGCTGCCAGCGGCTAGGCGTTTTTCAGAACGATTACTGGTCACCGGCATCGGTTGCTGCGTCTCTTTTCAACTTCGTGCGTGTCTCCCGCCCAGGACCTGATAGAGAACGTGGTGGCCGTGGCCGAGAACACGGCGGACGAGCTGGCCCGCAGCGACGGCCGGGACGTGCAGCTGCAGGAAGACCCCGACCTGCAGCTGCCGTTCCTTTTGCCGGAAGACGGCTATTCTTGCGACGTCGTCAGAAACGTCCCCAGCGGTCTGCAGGAGTTCCTGGACCCCTTGTGCCAGAGAGGTGGGTGCCGCCCTGTGCCGCCTCTGAACCATGGCCAGTTGGCATGGGCCTTTTCCTAGTTACGTGTCCCAGTGCGCTGGCATTGAGTGTCCCCCGTGTGCTTCTGGAGACGTCGGGGGCCCATTGCCTGGGAGTAAGCCTTTGGTGGAGATGTGGGGTCACGAGGGTCCAGACACAAGGTTCTTGGGGCCGTGCCGCGCGCCCCTCTGTGAGCACCGGCTCTGCTCGCTCGGTGGCAAGATTACGTTTCGGCCTGAGCTGGGATGGCTCTTCCCTTCCCAGTGTTTGTGAGCCTGGGACCTCGGTTGGTCCTCTGGAGCTGAACTGTCACTTTGCGTCGATGCCAGCAAGTAGGGCAGTTCAAAGCAGCACAGGCGTTGGAACCCGGTGTTCCGAGTTCCGATCCCAACTCGGTCACCCGCAGTTTTTGCCTGCGAAATGGATGTGGCGACATGGCCCGCCTCAGGGCTGTTGTGAAGGTGGTGATGGCCTGTGGGACCCTGGGGACGGTGGCCCAGAGCCGGTCTCTAGGTGCTGACGGCAGCCGTGGTCGCCAGCGCCCCACGTTAGTGCCAAGCAACCCAGACTCCGGCTTGTCTTAAACAGGTGCGGCCGGGTCCCGATGTGTCACGTGCCTTTTCACATCACTGACGACAGAACCACAGCTGTACCTGAAGCGTGGGCTTTTAAGTTAGACCAAATTTCAGTCCCAGTCTGCTGCTTCTCTATAACATGAAGCTCAGATGAGTAGAAAATAGACCCAAAATTCAGGAGTTTAAACAAATGAAAGTAATAGGAACTTAAGGTTATACATCCGTAAGAAGATAAATTTAATGAGTGTGATTTTTAACTGCAATGGCTATTTCACTCACCACATAGATTTTTGAAACAATTGAAACGGCGATTTTTTCTTAGAGAACTAGAGCTAAGTAGCATTCGTTCGCGTTCTTATTTTCACCGAGGGTATTCGCGGCACCTCATTTTCCTCCACAAGCAATCTCATAAGTGTCCTGACGTAAGAGCCAGCGTCAGCCTCGCCGGTGGCCGATGCCAGCTCGGGCCCCTCGGCAGTAGCGCGTCGTCGGGGTCAGGCGACCAGAGGCCCCGACAGGCCGCGGAGCGGCGTCTGGCGCACAGTGTGCCTTCGGTCCTCACTGGCAGCTGATAGTGAGGACCCCGTTTGGAGAAGCTGAACGGGAACTGCGCAGGGCCTCTGTGATGGGACTCTGTCGCAGAATTTCTGAGAAACAAAATAAGATCTGACTACATGAAGAACTATGGATTTTGAATTGAGAGGGTTAGTTTCTTTAAAGGTGTCGTTTACCCCTGATGAAAATATCAAAGACGTTCTTTAAAACATTATAAAATAATGCTAAAATTTATTCGTAATAAGTTTAAGTACTAATTGCAAGGAAATTGAGGCACAGAGCAACGAGTAGGGGCCCGTTGTACCCCGGAATTGCTCTACAAGCCAAATAATGTCTCGACTGAGTCACGTAGCCCTTCGTCCAATAGTGCAGGCAGATGTCCACGTCCGCATCGCTCTCTGGTCCCTCCCGTCTCCCCCTTTGGTGAAGAGTGACTCTGGGCAGTGCCGAGGCGCCCTGGCCCGGTGGGGTGGACGCACCGGCAAGGGAGCGAGCACACTGCAGCTCCGCCATTTCCGCTGGCTGCGAGGGCACGGCCCGTGAGCAGAGGAGGGGACCGATGCCGCTTCCCCGCTTGGTGTCGACCTTCCATTGGACCAGAACAAGTATAGGACTGAACTGTGTGGTGGGTCAGTGCGCAGAGGCAGAAGGGTGTAGACGCCGTCATTGGGCATGCAGCAGTTGGCACTTCACGCTGCTCCCGTGCAGCTGCCATCGTGTCTGGCACGGTGTGCTTTTCGGTCTCACTACTCGCTTGTTTTCTCCTCAGGATTTTGCAGGTTGGTTCCTCACGCACGTTCGCCAGGTACTTGGACAGTGTACTTTGAAGGCGCAGATTACGAAAGCCACCTCATGCGCGACAGCACGGAACTGGCAAGTATTGCGAGGGTGACGGGTGGGCTAGAAAAGAAACACATTCCTTGCAGTTTGAAAACTTGATGCAAATTCGTTCCTTGTTTACAGTGAACGTCGTGATAGGAAATTTTTGAAATCACCTTTAAATATTTTATTAAAAAATCTTAAATTCATGATTTATATATTAAGTTTTTATTTTCCAGGCCATGTCTATACAGTTTTGTCTATAAACAAATAGTGCTTTTTAAAGTAAAGAATATTTATATCTGTATTTATACCAGTTTTAATGTTAATATGTGTTTTTTGAATATGTTAACATGGTAGCCTTAACAGATTTTATTAGAAAACATCTTTGTTTGCTAAAAATGTTTTCTTAGTTCTACCTTGTCTTGGATTTGTATTGGATCATTTACTGACATCTTATAAGTTTTGAAGAGTGGTCAGTTCCAATATTTACGAGCTTTACAAGTGTTAAGGAAAAGTCTGCTTTACAGTGAATCGTAAACAAGAAAGGCTGCTTTTTCGTGCCTCAGAAAGGGGTGCCAGTTCCGTTGTCTTGTGTGACACATATTAGTGTATCTTCGAAGTGTCAGTCCAGAAAATATATAAATGAAATGTTTTCTTTTTGGACTTTTTTGTTTAGTTTTATTTACTTTAAATATTTTTCTATAATTGTCATTTTTGTCTCTTAAGCCACTTGGGGTTCAAGGAGAAAGCAGGTGTGACCCCACATTTGTCAAGGTTACTGTGGAGAGGAGTCAGTGTGTTACGTGTGATTGGATGTGGCAATTCAGTGACGTGGCCACATAACCCCAGGCGGCATGGAAGTAGACAGTGTCTCTGGGCCAGAATTTAGAGATTCTGGTCTATACAACAACCATAAGTCTTCTGAATTACTAAGTGGTGGACGGTGCGAACAGTGTCTGAGGACACGCCTGCCTGCCAAGGGACCAGTCTGACAGGTGGCCGAGTCAAGTGTGGGATGAAGAGCATAATGCGTGCTTTGTGTATGGAGTTCAAACTAGTTGATTTATTTTGGTTCAGTATCATAGATATATCATGTTCATCTCCAAAAACTGAATTAGTTGATGATTTCTCTGTTTGACCAGATCATCTTAGCTACGGGTACAGGGAATATGCCTCCAGTACCTGATACCAGCCTAGTTACCGACCATTATTGGTCAAATCCCAAATGATAGCAACTTCTAAATCCTAGGTTTTATAGAAAAACAAGTACCTTTTAGATGGAATCACTGATTTTTTATCTTTCTAGTTTATTCACAGATCCCTCAGGAGATTTCAGGTCTTGAGTTAAAAAAAATTCTAATGTCACCTGATCTTATTTATTTCCCTTAAAATGTTCTCTCACAGACCGGTTCTGAATGAACAGGCCAGGCATTATGATCGTTCCCTGGCAGTGCGCCTTCATACCTGCGGATTTAATTAGCTAAATGCTCCCTGGTGTGTAGACAGTGGCAGCTTTCTTCTTTAATTTTGTTTACCGTTTCGTGTGAGGTGTGACATGTATGCAGCATGTACCATCTGTGAATCACTTCGCTCGCTCATTCCTTTATGGATCTGTTCAAGAACCGGCCTGTCCTGTGGGGACGTAGCGTCACTTCGGCTGCGTCGCCCAGCTGAGTGGGCTTCACACCGAAGGCCTTGTGTGCACTGCCGCCTCAGGCCGGTGGCTGCCATCGTCTGCTGTTGACGATAAAACACAGTTGGCGGTTTCCCTAGAGACAGAGATGTTAGGTCACCTGTGTCAGAGCTTTTTCTCTGTGCTCCTCTTAGCGTAAAGTGAGTTTTAAGTTTCTTCTTTAGAGGACACCTAGTAGTTTATTCTGGAAGGTTATAAAGTAAAATTTTAATTTTGCCTTTATGATCGGGTCTTTGAAAGCTGGTAGTAATGGAAGTTTAGTTTTATTTATACATTAAATTCTTCACATAACACTTAAATAGTATCTGTGATTGGGTTCATCTTTAATTCTCTTGAGTCAAGACGTTTACTTTCCTAGTGGATACATGAAGAGCGCCTGTAGTCACTGACTTTTTCTACTATTTCCTCTCCCACTCCCCCGTTTCCTCTCCCCATTTACAACAGCGAATGTGGTTGACTAGATAGCTTGTGAGTTGCCTCGCCATATGGAAGCTTCCTATTTCAGCCATAAAGCAAACCTTTGTTTTCATCCTTTAGGCCCAGCCTCTGAGGAAGGAACCCGAAATAATCACTGTGACCCTAAAAAAGCAAAATGGGATGGGCCTCAGCATCGTCGCAGCAAAGGTAGGCCAGCCCGGGGCAGGTGGGGGTGGCCGGGCCTCATTCCTTTGCCCTTGGATCAGTGTCTGGAGCCGGCTGTGTGGGAGGGTGTCTCTGCCTGCAGGCACAGGGCGTGTTCGGTTCTGTTTGGGGGGCGGGGTGTGAATGGAACCCCTGTGCTCAAGCTCAGGGAGCCGGGGGCCATCCCCGTGGAGAATGGAGTGAGAGCCTCTGAGAAGGGGGCGCGGAGCCTGTGACCTAGTGGGTGGGTCCCAACCTCCTGGCTGGCGAGAGAGCAGCATCCTGTAGTTGAATGCGGTGTCGGTCCTCTCATCGCATGGGCATCAGACACCCTTGTCAGGAGTCAGACAGAGAAGAATCTGAGGACCTCGTCGCCGAGCAGGCTTCTGGGTCTGGTCTCCAGGCGCTCCCTGCTGGTGGCTAGCGGGGAGCTTAGGGGACCACTCGGACCCTGTGTGGCGCCGATGGCCCAGGGCATTGTGAAGGAAGCGCAGTTTCAGCTCAAGAGCCTTGAACGTGAGAATTTGGAGACAGAAGAAGTAAGGTTACGTTGCGGTGGGGGTGGCGGGGGACGAGGCTACAGCCCCAGGTGTGTTGCAGGCCTTGTCGGATGACTCGCGACCTGCGCCAGCAGCGAGCTGAGTGAGGGCGGTGCCGCCTAATCGACTTTAAAGCCTCTTGATGGGCAGGTTGAGGAGTTTCGCTTCATCTTCTAGGCTCCTCAGAAAAATGAAGGGTTTGGAAGAGCAGAGGGGTGTGGGAAGCTGACTGTAGGAGGCCGTGTCTGGGAGAGGCGGGGAGGGGAGAACGGGTTAGCGGACCTGGGACTAGAGGGGGGTCGGGGCTCAGCGGAAGAACCTTGAGGGTGTGGGCGGCGGAGCTGTCGTCCAGGGCGCGGTGGTCTGGTTCCGAAGCAGGGAGTCCGTGGAGTCCCCCAGAATTGGCCAGTGGTGCATCAGGCGCCTCCTTGCCCAGCTTGCAGCCCCGATTCCCGCTTCTTCCCTGGAGGGCCACGTGCACGCAGACATTTCCAGACTTGTGATTTAAGGGATCTGGGGCCCAAAACTTCGGGGACGTGAACAGGATCAGCCATGGACTTTTCTTTTTGCTCAACAATGGCTTCAAATGCCCCTTTTCAGGATAAAAAATTACAGTACCACACTCAGATATACAGGAAAGATTTAATCTCCATGTTTCCTGATACATATACCTATAGGATTTTATTCAAATACTCCTCTGACGTGAGGTCTGAAACACTCGTCTGCAGCGTCGTGGGGCTGCCATCCAGCAGCACCTCCATCTTTTCCAGATTAGAAAATAATGTCTCTCAGTACGAAGTTACCTGCACTCTGTAGATTCAAGTCTGATTTAGGTGTCTTTGACCCTTTTTCTCTGGCTCCGCGTCCTGGACTATGAAGGAGAGGCAGGCGTTAGCTACCCAGGATTCCCCACTAGGCCCTGTCCTCTCGCTGGCTTCTGCCTTGTCTGGCCACCAGGTGTCAGTGGGCAGTTAGGACAGGGAGCCAGACAGTCAGGCTGCCTCTGTTCACTTGACCTCCCTCCCCTTTCCCGTGTCACTCACATGCAGCGGCCTGTCCCAGGTCTCCCCCAGAGCGGACCGCAGAAGGCAGAGCCCTCATGGCAAGGAGCACGTGCTCAGTCTCAGGCCACCTCATTCCCCAGGTCCCCTGGGCGCCGTGTGTGTGGCCCCCGTCCCGGGGGTGGTACGCGCGCCCCCCTCTCCGAATGGGGCGGGGGGGCATCCTCTTCATCCTGTGTGCGTGCAGACCGAGGGCAGCAGGGCGAGCGGGCGCTCGGGGAGATCGCGGACTCGGGCCCGCCTGTGGCGGCTAGCCCGTCAGCTCACGATCGCGGCTGAGACCGAGCCTTCGCTCCCAAGGGCCTTTCTTCTCTCGCCAAGAAGGTCCGTGCCTAGGCAGAGGGTGGGTAGCACACGCCCTCGGTCCCTCGGGGGACCATGCAAAATAATGCGACTGAGCGAGTGACATCAGAGGTCCTCACTCTTCAGGGACGTTTGCTGGCTGTCTACCTGCCCCCTTTAGTGTGGGGGTCACTAAGGCCTCCCTGGGGGGTGCCCTGTGAGCTGAAGCTGAAGGGTGAGCGGGGCAGCAGGTGGTGGGTGAGAGTTTCAGCGGAGGGGACGCGTGCAGAGGCCGCAGCGTGGCTGCAGCACAGTGAGTGGGCGACACCCTTGCTGCGCCCTGGGGTGGGGGGCAGGCGTTTTCTGCTCTTGGGCCGCGTGGCCGTGTGGTCGCTGTGGGCATGCTGCTGGGCGGCCGTCAGCGGAGGGGAGAGGCCGTGCAGTCGGGCTCACAGGGACGCAGGCCCCGAGTCTGGATGGAGGCGTGAAGGGAGCAGCCGTGGGAGGGAATCAGATGATCGGTTTGAAAGTTCGTTTTTCCACGTCACGGAGCGGGGGTTGTACGGTCACAGCGACCAGTGCGTAGGTAGCGAGCACGAGTGTCCTAGGCGGAGGTGACGGAGACTGAGCTGAGCCGTGGCGGAGGCGGACGGAAGTCATCGTGGGGTGAAGTGACCCCGACAGAGGCAGACACTCTCGTCACAGCGCTGCAGTCCCTGGTCCCGGACGTGCCCACGCTCAGCTGTTGAGTGACAGCTTTTGGGTCGGGTGACGAATTGGGTATGTGATGACAAGGAGAAACGTCGCGTGCATGCGACTCTGTCTCCTGCACCGGGCACGCGGCAGCGTTGCTTACTGAGTCTAGGCTGCCAGGCGGCGGAGTCTGGAGGTCAGCGGTGAACGTGTTACATTTGGGACTCGGACGCCTGAGAAGCTGGGTCAGTGAACGTGCAGTCTGGGAGGTGACGTGGTGGGGGTGTGTGCGGGGCTCCAGAGACGAGCCTGGGCCCCGCACACACGCGGGTTCCCTGCAGCACGTGACTCGGGAAGCGCTGGCAGCCGGAGGTCGCCTTGGGCGCGCGGCTGCCTTCCTCCACTGCGGCTCAACGCAGACCCCGCGGTGTCACGTGCCTGCCCCTTGGTGCCGGAGCCCAGAGTGAGCTGTCACCTGCCCGGGCCTGCAGCGCGGCCGTGGTAGCGAGGTGGCCTCAGGTACCCCACGAGCGGAGCCTGCCCGCGGTCGATGGCCGCGCTGTGCCGTCCCCTGACGCTTTTGCTCCCGTCAGTCTCGTCCCAGCCCCAGTCCCGTCCCGCAGGCCAGCAGGTCACAGGCCTCGGTCGCTGAGCCCTGCCCCCGGCAGCCTCAAGTGTCCGCGCGTTTTGTCTCTTCTCACAAGCCGCGGTGGTCTTTGTATTCGGCCCAGTCCTTTATTTTTTCCTGGCTATGTGTGGCTTCGCCGCTGCGAGCCCGGACGCTGTTTGATGTCAAGTTCGCTGACGCCGCCTGCACGCTGCGGTTCTGTTTTATGAAAGCCAGATGACTTGGAACAGTGCGGGCGTGCGGCTCACTGCTAAAAACACTGCCCTGGGAAGTTAGCGGGCCCCCTCTTACTCATCTGTGGGACAGCGCAACGCTTCCTGTTTAATTTGGAGTTTTAAAATACAAACAGTTCCCTCCTTTTTATTTTCCTGGCTCTTTTTAAAGTTTAATAAAGTACAAAGTGAACAAAAATCAGAGCTGCCCGGTTACGTAAGAGTGAGTGTTGCACCGCTTCTCGGCCGCGTTGCTGAATGCCACGCAGTGTCACTGCGTCCAGCTCGGAGCTGTGGCGAGCCGAGCCTTGCGAGCCCAGCTGTGCTGGTGGCGGCCGGAGCCGAGGGAAGTGGAGTGGCGTTGGCTGCGTGGGCAGTCGCCGTGGTCCTCGGGGCCCAATGTGGTTCTCAGTCGTGGGACGCGCAGAGCCCGCGGTGAGTTTCCCCCGGGGGTGCTGGGCTGCGGGTGCTCCTGCTGGAGTCCCCTCCCCCGGGGACTCCGTTAAGCCTGCTGCTAATCCGCTCGCTCACGAAGCAGCCCCTTCTGTCGCCCATAATTACACACCCAGATGTTCGTTGCTTTTGTTTTAATGCTGCCGGTTCCTTAAGGGTCATAAAAATATAGGCTTCTGTGTGCATCTTATGTAAAGCAGAGAAAAAGCAAATTTAATCCTGCTGGTCGTAAATGGTGAAAATTGCTTGAAATGATTGTAACTAAGGCTGTATAATTTACGGAGGACATATACAGGGATGTCCGTGATGTAACTCTGTTTAGGCTTTTTACCGTAGGCTTTTTCTAAACCCGTTTTTTCTAAAAGTGAACATAAGATGACAATTTTAAAAGCACTTAGACTGCTTTACTATTTTTATTTAAAAATGAACAGTTAATCCAGTAACGTCTCAAAGATAGTTTCGTTTGTGCTTTTAGACTGTGATTTTAAGTTGACTAGCTTAAGACCCAAGGTCGCATTCCTCTGCCTTGAAAGGGGAGGCGTCGGTTACCAGTGCGGGTCCTTCAGCCCTTTGCTGCGGCCACGTGGGGAGGACCTGGTCAGAGAGGCAGCCGGGACTCCGGGGGCCTCGCTGAAGCCCCGCCCTGGGGCCTGTGCCCTGCAGCCGCTGCACGGGCACCAGAAATAACTTCCATTAGGTCGTGAACTGACCCAGTGCCCCGTGTGACTGTTGCTTATGAATTTGAAAACAACGTTTTATATTTTAGTTCCAAAAGCAAAGTAGTAAATTAGATAAAAGTATAATTTTTAACCCATTTTATAACGATGGCCCGAGTGCTAATTTCTAGGGTTGACTGAACCGTTCAATTACGACATTAAAATAACAGGAACGCTAGTTGATCCTGTTAATGCTCTGAAGCAGATCCGTCATCCCACGTGCGGCACTCGTAGAGAACGCGACATTTGGAGGGTCCGTGGACGAAGGGAACGCTGTGGAGCAGCCCAGTCTGGTGGAGGCCGGGGCTCCCGGGCCAGGAGGAGCGGGGTTGGGGGTGGGTGGCTGGCTCGGTCCTGCGCCCCTGCGCCCCGTGCAGGCCACACGCCCCTTTGCCCAGCCGGGGCCGCCTGTGCGACGG